CATCCTGCTTGCAGCATTCCCTAATGGGCAAGAGAAGGAAATCTAAAGTTCAGGGAAATAGACTTTTCAATTGCTGCAATAAGATTATTTGTGTAAGAAAGTGACTTGGTCAGAGAACTTATTGTCTAAGCATGATCCTAAAAGTCAGTGGTATCTGCCAGAGATTTCTTCTTCAGAGGAAAGAAGAGTCAACCTCACAGAGAGGATTTGAAGAGGCACCAGGGGAAGGAATTGAGTTGTTTTATGACTTCCTTCTGCAGGTCTCATTTGTTCAGTTACCAAGAAAGAGAAAAAAAAGAGAAGGACCTCCTAGTGAAGAAAAAATTGCCAACACAAAACCTCCCTGGCCCAGTGCAGTGTATGAGATGAGACATACCAGGCCTGTGGGCACACAGGGAGGAACTGCTGAATGATCTGATGACCTTGTTAGCCTTAATAAAAGTTTAAATTGCTACCTTTTATCAATAACATTTATATCAGCTGTCCCTACTCAAAACTGCAATCACCCACTAACAGTTAATATTGACATGTCTAATCTTGTTGTGAATACCACCAGTAGCTTTGACTTAAAGACAGGGGGCAAAAAACAATATGGATAAGAAGTCCAAGGAAAATATTGAGTTGAGAAAGTGAAATTTCAGGACCAAGATCAGAAAACACAGGGAGATGATAGGTAGGTAGGTAAGTAGATGATAGATAAATAGATAGATAGATCGATTAGGCAAGCCAAGAGATCAAGAAGCCAAACCAGCCTTGACAAAAATATTAACTAATAATTACTGAAAGCGTTTATTGGGGGCTCTCCATCCATAGTATCTTATTTAATCTTCCCAACAATCCTATGAATGCAGTGAGGCTGTGTAGTATAATAGTTAAGAGTCTAGGCTCTGCACTGGGAAACGTGTCTAGCATGTTGTAAGCACTCCATATGAGTTATGTATTGCCCTAAAAAGGTGCTAGTATTATAACATTTTATAGATAAGGCAATTGAGACTTGGAAAGGTTAAGTAAATTACTAGGAGGTCATTGGTTAAGTGAAAGACGAAGGCAGAATTCGAACCCAGGGATCTGATTCCAGGGCCCTCTCTCTTAACCCATAACCAAGGTCAGGCTTCAGCACCCACTCATCTCCTTTTCCAGGCTCTCTCTTTACAAGCTTGAGCCCCCCAAGAAGTCTGTTCTATGTTTGGTCTCCCTCATGTCTTGCTGCCAGCCAGCTGCCAATCAAACCCTAAACCAAAGGTTAGCCTGATACCTGGGATATTACATGTGACATTGCCAGGAATGCTGACCTTTAGACAGGAGGGTTTTAAAGACTTAAAAGATGGACAAATTACATTCTGGTGGAAGTCCAGTGATGATATACTTTTATTCAGTGAGAACTTCTTGAACAAGAAATAAGAAAGGGAAGAAAAGAGAGAGAAGAAGATGACAAACACTAGCAGAAACCACTACATCTTTTAATATCACAGTCACAAATCACTACCCTCTTCATATCCATATAAATATCTTTGGTCCAGAGTGGAAGAGCAGAGGGGGCTGGTTCTCCTGAGATGGATGTGGGAAATGCTTCTAACCAGCTTTAGGGAGACAGAACTCATGGGCAAAATATAGGAAGGAAAGAAAATGAGTAAAGGGAATGGGGCTGATACCAAGAGTGTGGATCTAACGCCATGTATCCCATTGGCACCGGGTTAAATTCTGGCCTACCCTCCCCTTTCATTTGGTTAATCTGGGTTTTAAATACATATGGTATTCTTTCTCCTTTGAGAAAACCAAATAAGCCCTATACTGGAATTCCCTATTCTCCCCAGCCCCTTCTCCTCTTCCCCAATCGTCTCCCAGGACCGGCCCGTGCTCACCCATTCAATAAATGCTTGTTGGACCGAAAGGAGCTCAAAGCCTCTGGCCTGATCAGTGGCATGAGGGCCAGAGCCACGTTTCCAATAACCACCCAAGATACCCCATTGTACCTACACTCAATATACTTCTGTGGAAATCCATCTTCTTCTACACAAACCTGTTCTCCTTTGTCCTTAGCTCCAATTAATGGAAATATCACCAGCTTGAAATCTGTCTTCTCTCTTAATTTTTCCTTTCTTCTGTCTTCTTAATTTTGCATACCAAATCCCATAAATTTGCTTCTCTGAAGATGTTTCTCTCATTAGCCTCCTCTTTCTACCACAATCACTACCCTCCTTTGGACTTAGAAATTTTAACTTCTTTTAAATAGGCTGATTCTACTTTCTCCCACAACAACCCACAATCCATCCTACACTTGGCCTCCAAAAATATCTTTCAACATCTTAAACATGATCACATTACAATTTTAATCAAAAGTCACTCATAAACCATCAGTGAATGATTGCCAAAATCAACCTTCCGGACCTGAGTTCAAGGCACTATGTACCTGAGCCCTACTCATCTTTCCCATATCCATTTCCCATTACTACCCAGATACATCATGTTACGGATTAAATTGTGTTCCCCCAAAGTTTGTATCAACTTGGTTAGGCCATGATTCCCAGTATTGCATGGCTTTCCTCCATTTTGTGATCTTATGTAATTATCCTACGTGTTGTAAATCCTAACCTCTATGATGTTAATGAGGCAGGATTAGAGGCAGTTGTGTTAATGAGGCAGGACATAATCTACAGTATTAGACTGTATCTTGAGTCAATCTCTTTTGAGATATAAAAGAGGGAAGAGAGCACGGAGGAGGGGGCCCTCATTACCACCAGGAAAGAAGAGCCAGGAACAGAGCACACCCTTTGGACCCAGCGTCCCTGCGCTGAGAAGCTCCTAGACCAGGAAAACACTGATGACAAGGACTTTCCCGAAGAGTCAACAAAGAGAGAAAGCCTTTCCCTGGAGCTGGCACCCTGAATTCAGACTTTTAGCCTCCTAGACTGTGAGAGAATAAGTTTCTGTTTGTTAAAGCCATCCACTTGTGGTATTTCTGTTATAGCAGCACTAGATAACTAAAACAAACTCCTGTTCCAGTTATAACCCTCCAATGGTCAGCTCTTTGAAAAGGCCAAAAAGGAATATTCTAAGAGGCTCTGTCCTGCAAACCTCTCTATTCTAAAACAACACCTAAAGTTAAGCCAAATTGGTCAGGAATGGTCAGGAGGAGCATCAGACTGAATTTCCTCACAATATATAATATTTGCCTTGTGTATCAAGGGATGACCACTCTGATTGGAGAAAAAAAAAACTGCAGAGTCCAACAAACAGTGAATTATAGGCAGAGACATTGAGCAAAAGAGCTAAAATAATGGACTTGGGCCAGAGAGTGTGCGGTGGTAAAAAAAGATTTTAGAAAAATGGGGAGGAGAAGAGAGCCAAAATGGCTATAATCCATCCAGAGAAGTTTTGCTAGAAAGGTGAAGAAGGGGACAATTTCAGAGGCGTTAAAGTTTAGGGAAGGAGCACTGGTGGCACAGTGTGTAAGGGCTCAGCTGCTAACTGAAAGGTCGGTGGTTCAAACCCACCCGCCACTCCACAGGAGAAAGATACGGCAGTCTGCTTCTGTAAAGATGACTGCCTTGGTGTAATGGGGAACCCAAAATCGACAAGAGGAGAATGTTGACACATCATGGGGGTGGCAACCAATGTCATAAAACAATACGTGTATTAATTGTTTAATGTGAAAATAATCTGCTCTGTAAACCTTCATCAAAGCACAGTTTAAAAAAAAAAAATTACAGCCTTGGAAACCTTATGGGGCAGTTCTACTTTGTCCTATAGGGTCACTAGGAGTCAGAATCAATTCAACAGCACACAACAACAACAAAGTTTGGGGAGGCTAGGGGAGAAAACAGAGACCGTGGGTAACCCTAATAAAGAAGTTTTCTGTTCCTAGCAATGGTGAGCCTGACTGCCCTTAGAGCTCAGTAGCCTCCACTGCAGCCTGGTTTCACCAGCATGGATGTTGAGGGAAGAGTTGGGATGGCAAAGGCGGTGATTACTTATAGGTCTATTCTCACAGGTAGGTCTGGAGTTGAGCTGGAGCTCTGCAGCCACACAACAATAGCTCTTTGATGATGCGGAGCATGACCTCACAAATGGGAGGTCACCTCTCCCCCCACCCCTGGCTTCTTCAGAGCTGGACGGAGGAACCAGAGGGAAAGTCCACCTTCCTGAGCACAGCAATAACATCCACTTCACTCAACTACTTGTCAAGTTCTCTACCAACACAAGGGGGTAAGTTGTGTTTGGACAACTGAAAATAGCCCCTCTTTTACCTCTTCTCTCCGGGGAGGGACCTGCAGCCCCCAGGCACTGAGCAGGTGTGGGATTGGTTGTTTGAGTGAAACGTTCCTCATATGTTCAGAGCAAGAACTGGGGTGCACTTCACCTTAGAATAGAAATTCTTAGCAATTTCAGAGTTCACCTTAATGATCTACCTCTCCAGAGAGTCATACTGATTTTGAAACTAAAGTAAATTAGGTAACACTTTATATTGTTAAAGGAACTCAAAGGCACAGCAATAGAATCCACCTGAAGTATTGTCAGGGACTGACAAGCCCTGTCCATATCCTAGAAGTTATGCTGTCCATACAGGAAGGCCTCACTCAGGGTAAAACTCAACAGAGGGGAAAAGGAACTCCCTTCTTAAAATCATACCATGTGGCTCTAAACCCAAACCAAAAACCAAACCCATTGCTGTTGAGTCAATTCTGACTCATAGCGACCCTATAGGACAGAGTAGAACTGCCCCATAGGGTTTCCAAGGAGCAGCTGGTGGATTCAAACCGCCGACCTTTAGATTAGCTGCTGAGCTCTTAACCACTGCACCATCAGGGACCCATGACCAGAGGATAGCCCCTTAAATTAGAAAATGGCCTTGACCCCATCTCAGGGCAGACTTTCTCATGGACAGGGGCAGCAGCAGGTGTGACTGGGAAGCCTGCACTGGTCCTTGCTGACCTCAAGTGTGGTCTCCCACCTAAAACCTCTCTGGTATTTCTTTGCAGGGCCCAGAAAATCAAGAAGCAATGTCGAGTGATGATAAAAGTAAATCTGGTGAACAAAAGACTGAGCCCAAGTGTGAACAAAAGTGTGAGCCCAAGTGTGAACAAAAGTGTGAGTCCAAATGCCAGCCCAGCTGTTTAAAGAAGCTGTTGCAACGGTGCTCTGACAAGTGTCCACGGGACAAGTGTCCATCACCATGCCCACCAAAGTGCCCCCCTCCGTGCCCCCCTCCGTGCCCCCCACCATGCCCTCCCCCCAAGCCCTGTACCAAGCCCTGTCCTCCTAAATGCCCCTCTCTGTGCCCACCCCCAGAGTGAGGCACCACGGGCACCACCCAGCCCACTACCACCTACCACTGTCATCTTCACCATGCCCAGCCCCATGGGGCTGGGGGCTGAAACCACGAACTGACAAGTAAAAGCGTTCCTCTGCTGTGCAAAACCCTTCTCCTGGGTTTGTGTGTGTTTGCTTTTGTTTCTGTAGCTCCATCCTACCCAGCAAGAAGCAATCCCTGGAGAGTAAGGCTATATCCCCAGCCCTCCTCCACCACAGATGACCCTGGCGGTCTGCCTTGCCCTCTCACCCGGCCCCTCTTCCGAAGGGTGCATCTAGGGAATGTCGCCCTTGTGAGGGTGAAACCTGAGAGATCCGTAAATGTGGCTGCAGATTTTAAAGTGTTTAACCCAGAAGGGCAAGTGAGCACGAGGGACATGGGAGGGTATGAGGAGGAAAGAGGAGTGGGAAGTGAAGAGAGTTTCAGGAAGGCTCAGGAAAGGCAATTGTACCCTTTGCTATTACTCCGGTTGTGTAATACTTGGGCAGAAGGTCTCTGAGAACAACTGTGTGGGTTTAAACTCCAGCTCTGCCCTCTAACAACTCTGACCTTAGGCAAGCTGCTTAACTTCTCTGTGCCTCGGTTTTCTTCTCTCCATAAAAGGAAACGATGTGCTACAGGACTGTTGTGAGGCTGACGGAGTTCATACAAAGTGCCTGGTTTCCTGGGATATACAAGTGCTCCGTGAAGGTAGCACCCTACCCTAGCCTGGTGTGACACATCACACCTGAACTTACCTGCTGCTGCTTCTCTGCACTGCTAGGTTGTAAGTCTCCTGAAAGCAATAGTCGGGTTCTGCCTTACACCTGTGGAGTCCCTGGGTGGCTCAAATGGTTAACATGCTCGGCTGCTAACTGAACATTTGGATGCTCAAGTCTACCTAGAGGTACCATAGAAGAAAGGCCTGACGATCTACTTCTGAAAAATCAGGACATTGAAAACCCTATGGAGCACAGTCCTGCTCTGACATACATGGGGTCACCATGAGTTGGAATTAACTCCACAGCAAACGGGTTTTTTTTTTTTTTTTTTTTGCTTGGTTTTTTTTTTGGTTTTTTAAATTACACCT